CAAAACTGGAAAAATATTTGTTGATTTCTTAAGTTAAGAGTCTGTTGATTAAAGAGGTTTGTTTTTAAAAAAAACATTGGTGATATAACAGAAAATAGCTTCATTCTGAAAGGATTTAAGTTTAAAATTGGATTGATATTTTTGCTTTCATGATAAATTTTATGCACTTGTCTCTAGACTAGGTGATCCCATACAAGGTCTTCACTTTAGTCTTATTATACCAACACTGACTACACTTATAAGGTTTGACATCTCCCCTCCTCATGGCCCCCTTGCACCCAGTCACTAAAATTGTAATAGGCAGACAGTATTTGAACTATTCTACCTAGATAAATGCATTTTAGATTTTATGATTTGTCCTATTTTGAGAAATCAAGCATGATATGTTGTGACACACTGGCTTTTATATAGGTTAGATTAGCAGGTCTACAATTGTGGTATTATTATTATATAACAAAAATAATTTCAAAAGCCTGGCTTAATGGTGTATATTCAGTGATGAATGTTTAGCCAGCACTTACACTTAATAAACAATTTATATAAAAACGAATCAACAATACAAATATTAAAGCTTTGCAACAGCTGGCATATACATACAGTTTTCACTGTCTATAGTTATAAATATTTTGAAACTTCTACCTCATTTCTTTTGGCTCTCTCCCTGTAATTCTAAACAGAATTCTACTTGCCACATTTTAACAAAAAATTATCAACAAGTAAATTGTGAAGTTTCTACCATATCATGTTAACATCTTTTTTATGATTATCAAATAATTTGTTCTGTAACAAAATCAAACTCTGAATAAGATGTACAAAATTAAAGATGTATAGGACATTAGTATTTAAAAATAAGAATAAGAAAAACACGTTTCTAAAAAGCACTTTGTGAATCAAAGTCCAGTAAAGAATTCTACTTAGTTAACATGTTAAAAAGAAAACTTACTTCTCACACTGAGCTGATGCCTTCAACTCAGTTGCTCTAGTAATGAAAACATGAACCAGAGATCTGTAGTTTCCAGTGTAGAGGTTATTTGTCAAAAAGGTCTGTAACAAAGACTGGACACTCTCTTCTAGCAAACGACAATCAGCACTAAAATAGAAATGTAACATTCAAATAATATTTACTGAAGTATTTACCATATTTAACATCAAGCAATTTTATTGAAGTCAAAGATGTACCACAAGCCTAAAATTAGAAGATTCACTATTTGTCAGTTTTGTAATTTGCCTTTTAGCTTATTGCTGATCAAAATTATCATACAATTAATAACACATGTTTTTAACTCAAACTTTCAATTTCACTTTTTGGAAATTCAACTCTAAGAAACAAATAATCAATTAATACTCATGCATTTAAATTAATCCATAAGAAATGGTTTCTCACTAGAGCTGAGCAGTTAGTGATATTTTCTAACTGATTAATTGATGACCCCCATTAATTGGTTAAATTTGATTAATCAATTACAGTAGTTCAGTGTTCTTCAAACAAAAGTACCAAGAAGCAAAAAACAAAATAAGTTGATAGCAGGTGTTGCAAGCGAGTTGCCTTTCCCTATGGTCAGCAGTCCAACAACAACAAAAAAAGGCTGACAGCTAGCGCTGCCACACAGTTGTCTTCCCTGTAGTCACAAGTTCCAAGAAAAGGAAACAAAAATGTAGTCAGTGGGTGTTGCCACTTGCTAGCAGTACCTACCACCTTCTTTTGTTTCTTCCCTCTCCTCAGCAATTCTACAACAACAATAACAAAAGTATGTGGTGGGTGCTGCCAATTAACCGATAGTTGAAATAATCAAAAACAGTAATAACAAGAAATGGTAATTTTGATTAACATTTAGTTTATGTGACACTAATGGATGTAATCACTGCTCGTAGGTAATTGATTAATCAATTGAGTTTCCGAGTTGTATTCTTCACTATATCTTTTTTCTTATTCCATACTTAGATCATAGTATACCTGTTTAACAATATACTAAGCCAAGAATAGATACAAATCATAACTTACCAATGAGTAATGCTTACTTAGTTAATAAAAGGAACTGAACCCATAATTATGTAAAATGGTTATAGGTGAAATAAACATTATGAAGTTCTTGTATAACTCCTTGAATTTATTCAAGTAAAAAAACAAAAAACATTAAAATATTTAATGAAAATTAATCAATACTTTTGTTCAGTTTTACTACAAAAAATTGAGTTTTCATAACACCATCACATCACATGTTTTAGAATAGCACACATTCATGTCTAAAAATAAAAACTGCAGCTTTGCATTGTTCCTTTCCTACATTTACTCATTTTCAGTATGATTATTTTTAGAATTTCATTAACTAAACATTGTACAGTACACATACTGTAACTGTATCTACATGACATGAAAACAGAAACTATCCAGCAAGAGAGGCAAAGAAAACCTGTACATATAAATTGTTATATAAATTATATTAGTATAAATTGTTATAATGAGAGAGTGCAGGTTTAGAATCTCTTATTGACTTTACATTATGAAACATGTTTTGAATCTCCACAGTTTACCATGATAAAAACCTCAGTTTTAATTCAATCTTATGTAGGAATAATGCTACATATACGTCTGATTGAGCAAAAATCAAAGAAAAATGTATAACAGTACGTCAACCAACTGCACCTGCTATATCCAATGCTATGTTATTATCTGTATAGTTAATTGTTAAAAGCATGAGTGTACATGTTGCACTTTGTTGTTTTGCCATCATACTTTGTTGGTTAAAAACAGTGGGTTACAGCAAACCTTCTAATAAAGAAAAATGAAATTACAAATAACACAAGAAGCCTTGCTTATGATTACCTTGAATATGCACCAGTGAATCAGTAACCTAAGATTATTCAAAGTCAATTGTTCATGTGATGTAAAAGTCCTTATAAATACATATAAATACAACAAAATTCGTATCCACAATATCTTTATAGGGAAGAGGGGTTCACTATGGCACACCATATATAATAAGACCAACAAATTTTACTTGTTTAATATCATAACCTTGAAAAGTCCTTATAAATACATATAAATACAACAAAATTAGTATCCACAATATCTTTATAGGGGAGAGGGGTTCACTATGGCACACCATATATATAATAAGACCAACAAATTTTACTTGTTTAATATCATAACCTTGAAAAGTCCTTATAAATACAACAAAATTAGTATCCACAATATCTTTATAGG